CTATCGCCTTATTTGGACATGCGCGTCACAACCTCGATTTCAGGTTGTCCCATCTGCGCATGCGCCACTTTTCGCGAATATCGCCATCTTGGATTTTACAATTTAAGAGAATGTATGGGAAAATAGTGGTCACGTGGTACAATCCCTGCCTCCTGATTGGTTACGGCCCAAAGGAGCGTATATGACTACTAGAAATGGAAAAAAATGTCTTTTTTTGTCCATTTCAATATTGCCAGTGGGTAGAATTGCAATTTTTTTATCTTAAGTAAGGTGCATGTTCCATAGTGTTGTGAATATTCTTTAATTGATGGCAAATATCTGCACTGGGAAACAGCAAATACACATTCTAACATGGATAGTGAGAGCAATCACTAAAGCTCTCAAAACAGCCATAAAATGCTGGGGACCTTAATGTTTTCTGTGTGCTGGCATACTATTTACATAGTATGTGCTGTACTATTTACATATGTGCTGGCATACTATTGGCCATTTCATGAACATCTACTAAAACACAAAAGTCATTTTTCTGTCAAACTAACCTGAAATCAACATGAAATATATACCTAAGTATTTTCTTATCAATATTCAGTATAAATGTGGTGAAAAGAAGCACTTGAGACATTTCTTTCATATATTTTCTGAGCTACAATTTATCGCTTTCTCCCAATATCGAAAAAATGTGGTAGAAGAAGATTCAACGCAAAAGTTCCCTTAACTTAGGTTTTCAGGCATAAAGTAGAATGGAAACAAGAAATAACTTCTACATACATGTCACTTGGATGTGCTTTTTTGTTCTCTTTGATTCTTAGATTGCAAAATGTCCAGTTTTGTTTCATCTGTTCCGATACTTCGACCCAAGGTTTAAAGAGAAAATCCATTTCCATCCCGCTTTCATGATAGTCCTTTTTACAGTTCCCGGCGCCATCTTGGAATAGTAATCACGCAAACATGTCAAGGCTCACGTTGAGTCGCATTTCGTATCTGGTGTGTGTTCAACAGACAATGTGCACTCATCTTTGCTTTTTCTTCGCTTTTGTCCTGTTTTTTTCACGATACTTTTCGATAATGAGCAGCAGTAATGCCCACTAAGATACTCCTCCGTCGCCTTTGAAGAAAAGAGGGAAACAGTGTGCCGTTTATGGCTGTCACAACTGCTATTACAATGACAAAGGGCTTACTGCTGGTTACCATTTTTTCAGTTTTCCAACTGACCCCAAGACCAGAAATCGCTGGTGTAACCTAAAAAAGTGGCAACATGGAAAGGATGACTTCAATGTAACTGCTGCAACTGTTGTTTGTAGTGAACAGTTTAGACAAGAAGATATTATAAGAAAATTGTCAGGCCGCTGGGACTTAAAGAAAGGTATGTGAAATGCAAAAACAGATACAAAAACGTCATGGCAAATATTTCATGACAGCTGCATTATGCTAAATTTTTATTTGTTCCTTTGTACATAAAGCATTTAAAATTGTAACATATAGCTTTTGACTGTTGGCTGGCTTTTCACATGGAAGGAAAATATCATAGTTGTTACCCCAATACAATATTTGGATACCAGTGGATTACTGTTGTGCGTCATTGTACCTTATTCATCAGTGTCATATAAATGTACTGAGATAAAAAACAGTTTAACTGACATTAGAGTTTGGTATTTTTCATAACTTTATCAAAACAACCATTAGCACCACAACATGTTCATTTATCATGGTCATGTAGTTATTTTGATTTTTATTGCCTTGTTTTTTTAAGGTGCTGAGCCATCCCAGTTTTCATGGAGCGTGCCAAAAAAGTCTGGAAAAGCTCCTCTAAGGCGAACCAAGAATAAATTAGTTTTAGCTCAGGAAATGGATGTTGCAACTCCATGGAAGTCACTGTGGACTCAATAATCATACCAGCACCACCTATAACAGTTTCCACAGTCAGCAGCAGTCAATGTTCAAATTCATTAGCTAATGATCTGGATCCAACCAAAGCCTCTAAAGCTAATGTTGTTGAACAACTACAGAGGCAGATTACATTACTGGAACTAAAGTTAGCTGATTGTGAAGAAAAGTTGGCGGAGATGGAAAAAGAGGGTGAAATTATGCTGGGGTGTCAATTTTCCTTAGACAAAATCAAGGGTGATAATTCAGCCATCCTATTTTACACTGGGTTTCCTTGCTATGAAGCACTGATAAGTTTTTTCAAGTATCTTGAGCGAAAATGAGCGAAAATGCAGTACTGGAAAGGAGAACACTTATTGAGAGAGGCAGCCTTGTCAAGAGGATGAAAATAAAAATAAGCCTGGACCCTCCAGGAAATTAACATTTCTTGATGAATTTGTTTTAGTGTTGATGCGACTGAAGGCTGGATTATTTGTGCAGGACCTTGCAGACAGGTTTGGTGTTAGTACAAGTCTTGTGTTCAGAATATGTATAACCTGGATCAATTTGTTGTAATTTGAACTCAAAGACCTTTTCCCTTTTCCATCACAAGAGTTGGCACGCAAAAACATGTCAGATGAGTTTGCCAAGTTTGCAACAACTAGAATAATTTTGGACTGTACAGAGATATTTATTCAGCGTCCCTCAGCCATGCTTGCGCAGTCTGAAACTTGGTCAGACTTCAAGCACCACAATACTTTGAAGCAACTGGTGGGAGGAACTCCAAATGGCCAAGTCCTTTCAGACCTCTGGGGTGGGGGCGGGTGTCAGATAAACAGATAACAAGAGAAAGTGGAGTTCTAGATTTATTGAGTAGTGGTGACAATGTTATGGTTGACCGTGGCTTCGAGATAAAGGACATTGTGCCTGATGGTGTCATGGTTAATATGCCCCCTTTTTAGCCGGACGAGATCAACTGACTGCATCAGAGACAGAGGAAACTATGACTATCGCCTCTGTGTGAATACATGTGGAGAGGGCAATTGGTAGGATAAAGACTTACCATATTTTGGATGGTAACTTACCCAACACTTTAAGCCCCTATGCAACACAAATAGCCACAGTATGTGGACTATTGACAAATTCTCTTCCTCCATTGCTACCTCCTGCAAAACCAAAACCCTGAATTCCTTTTTTATTAACTTTAGTTTGTTTACATGCCTGAAATAATTTCTGGCATGTTTATCATTTTGCAACCCCTAGACAATCAGATGGGAGATAAAGCAAGAAACACAAATTTCAAGAAACAAGATAATTGCTAGTGTGGCTTCTTGAAGTTAAGTTTTGTGGTTTGGGCTCTTAGCTATTGTTGCTTAACTTGGGGTTCTGTTATTTCAAGTGGAAAGGAGTATTGGTACTCTCCCAACACTATATACCCATGGCAAAATAAGTCTGTTTTATAAAGTTTTTGACTGTAACTAACGTAACACCCAGCTGACATTTCAAGTATTGTCAGTTCAAACTTCACTCAATAGAAGTGCAAATTCATCCTGCAAGGTGATTTGCTTGTGTCTTCAAGGTTCTTATGGATACATTCTTAGCACTGTTACATGAAAGGAAAAATAATGGCTGTAGTAATTAATAATGTAAATTTACTACACACCAATTGTTTACAATTGCCTTTGAAATTGCATTTTCAAACCAACACTTGTGCAGCAATATTGGCCATATGGCAACCAACCTCTGTGCAGGTATAGGATCTTACCCCGCTGTACTCGTCTGGTAATGAGCTCAGGGAAAAGAACACATCTGTAAAAGAAATCTATCTTTGGCAGGGAGTCACATCCAAGAGTTGTCCAAGTAAATTTTCTCCACAAATAGTGGTCTACTCTCTCCAAAGTATACTATAAGAATGATCCCTTTAAGATCCAGGTTAGAACAGTAGAGCTGCCCTTGAATTTGTACATAATAATCATGATTTCGTTTTAACCTTACAGTTCCATCGGCAAGTTTCTCCAGAAAGAAAGTTTTGTTTTGGTAGGCTTCTTCAATAGTCATGCCTGCTTTGCTTAAAGGAGATTTAATTTCCATTCCCCATTTTTTCGTGTGTATCCTTAATGGTTACAATCCTGTCTATGCTTGCCCCCAGGCATGGCTTGTCCTTGGACACCAGTAGCCCAATTTCCTCAACAGTAACATCAATGCCATCCTTTTTCATTTCCCTCATATAAAGGTTCACTGCCTTTGCTTCACTTTCGATGCCATATTGAGTAGCATCTGTTGTAAAATTCGAGTAAAGGATTGATTTCAACTTATTTGAAGGTTCCACTTTGTTCTTAGATGCTTTTCCAAAGTTTGAAGCTGTCAAAAGAGATTTCCTCTTTACAAACGAAAGATTGTTTTTGTTTTGTCCTCGAGTTGTTCTCTCCATTTCATCTATCTCTTCTTTGGTGATTGTTAAGCTGGAAACATAGGAATCAATCATAGATTTAAAGTGCTCCGTAGCAATATCGTAACTGTCTGTAAAAGGCACAGACTCTGGTGCCTTGTTTGTCTCTTCAGAGTCTCACTCCTGTAGACAGGTTGACTTGATGTCAGGGAACAAAAAAAATGAAGTGGCAGGGAGACAATTTTCAAGACTTTCACTTAAAATCTTGAAACTGTTTTTCTCTCTTGTTCGCTGATTTGGTGATCTTGGATCAAATTTTATAACCTTTGACTGAAGACAAATATTTTTCTTACCAAATCGTATCTTTCTGATTAGCACTTGGTCGAGAGGTTTAGCTGCAACACTTTGGTTGCGGGGTACAACCCACACAGACAGCCGCAATGTACATGATAAAGGCTCGGCATGTTTCTGTAATCCCCTTCTCATAAAATCTTCATTTGCAAACAACACTCCTCCAACATGGTTACATTTACCTTTTCTGGATAAACCAAGTCCAGCCGGACAAGTGCATGCCGCTCGCAAAATGTGACAGTGCACGGGAAAACATAGCTTAATGCGTATCCGTTAGATGGGCAAAAGCGTTAAGCATCCGTTAGTCATCCGTTAGAAAGTTCTCTTAAAAACGTTACAGGCGTGAGCCCAACCGTTAGATGTTAGCATCAAGCCGTTAGAACAGAGAGTGCAACCGTTAGCAAGAGACATGTATCCATTAGCCGTTAACATTAGACTGTTAGATTGGACAGCATAACCGTTAGCAAAAACTCTGTATCTGTTAGCACGGCTAGTGAAATCGTTAGGAGCCGTTAGAATAAACTAGCATACGTAAAATAGGTAACGGTTCCATTAGAATGGCATGACACGCGTTGAAGTAGAAAGTGGTACGTAGTGTGAAACAAGAGCAGCTCTTGGCTTCCATTTAGTTCAAAACAATCATGAGAGATAGCTATCTCTTGACAAGAAGTTTTGCAATTATTATTTTTTGATGATTGATAGATACAACTTGAATGAAGTTCAATAAAGTCTTCATACTATAATTATTATACATGATCCAAAACAAAACACATTTGCTGCTTTCGAGAACAGAAACGACATGTAAAATCATAACAACGCTTGTCATTATATGAACTGTTTTATTTATTCCGCAAAGTCCAGTTGGTTTGAGAGCTTGTAATTTGTTACTGTAATTGGTGAGCAAAGGAAAGTTTAAAAATACCTTACAAATGCCATAAATGGACGAAACAAACACTGAGAAAACTCAACCAAAATGGCCATGCGATGAATAAAGATTTTTTGTGAACACTGATCACGTGTCAAGAACTTGTGCTCGTGTGCCAATTCACAAAGTGCTGGTTCAAAAATTTGCATAAAGTTGTTTACATCTTCCAAGGTGTGAGAAACGGCCATATTCTGGCGGAAAGCTTGATAAATATTTTGATAGACTGTTGTCTGACTCTGAATCAGATGAAACCAATTTAACTACATGTATGTGACAAAAACAACTTTATCTGATGAAACCAGTGCCAACAAAACGCCTGTCGCTTCAAGACTAGCTTCGGACTTTGAAAGGTACCACTTTTCACATGCTCTGTCAAGAAAGCGTAATCTTTCATGAATCCACAGCTAGATAAGATGAAACAGTTACTTTTAAAAAATTCTTTACAAAATCATTGTGTAAAAATAAGTTCAAGTGACAAATCCATTTGAGCAAAACAATAAAAAATGTTCACCCTGCTTGAATGGCGAGTTTTAAAATTGTTTACATGCGGGTTTAGTGACGTTTCGCGTCCCACACGATAATAAAGGACTCAAATTCTGAGTTTCTGTCTCGATGAGGAAGTGATAGTTTATATCACTGAGTTTTGCTTTCAATGCTCACCATAGAAATAGTTCTTTTAATGTGTGTCTCATTGACAACTGATGAAATCGGCACTTTGTGATACATTTTTTTAGAAATCGTGAGTGTAAGACTGATAATGGATTGGCACGATTATGTGTTTTATAACATTGGACTGAAAGCTACACTGTTCGTTCGTTAAAAGCTCTTAGATGTAAACCGTTAGACAACCGTTAAACATCCTTAGTTGTAGACCGTTAGACAACTGTTAAACGGCTTCAGTCATCCGTTAGAACAAATTGTGCAACCGTTAGAACGTGTTCTTCATCCGTTAGGTATACATAGTTAGCCGTTAGAATGTTAGGAGAGAGCATTAGAACGCTTTGATCATCCATTAGGCATAATTAGATAACTGTTAGAACTTTAGGACAAAACATTAGAATGCTGTAAAGGCCGTTAACTATC